TACCGATTAGCAGTGCTGACTGCATGCTACCAGGTTGCTCTCCAACAGTGGAGCATGAACAGCCCTGAGGCGTAACAATTATTGATTTGTTGCTGATTGCAACCGCTGCAATTGGTGAGTCCTGACAAAGGCCGACACTCGTTCTAGGGTCAAAAGCTAGGGTCAAAAGCTTTAGTGGTGTCAATGTCTGTGGGGATATCATACACTAGTGTGCTGCAGTGTCCACTTGAGCAAAGGTGTGCTCACATCCAGCCCGGTACCGATTACTACACGAGGTTGGAAAGGACTTGAATGTTTGAACACGCAAATACAGAAGCAAGGATGGCACCGAGCATGATGTTCATTCTACACTGAATCTACACGACGGTATGTAACACCAAATTTCGGAGGCACGCTGCTTCAACTGCAAGTATACCTACCCTACTGACCAGAAAAGATATTGCCTTCACGCAAAAGCGCCGGGGTGTGGTTCTGGAGCCATATCAAGAATACTTCCTCATCGTCCGCCGGAGCGAACGCGAATGGGCCTGTATATTTGTGAATCACCTCTAAGAAATGCATAGCGATTTTGAAGTTTCCTTCGTGCAATGGCGTTGGACATATTTCATCCACTGTTCCCAGATAGCTGGTTTTTTTCCCATGGCATCCACTGTCAACCATTCATTGAGTGGTCCGTCTCTTCTGAGGAGCTTGCCTTTTTCATATCGAAAACAGATCCAAGTGAGGACCCAGATGAAGGATTCAATTCGAGGGGCCAGTACCAGCTTTAGACTCGACCAAAGAAAATCATTGAGCCTTTGCCATCTCATGCATCACAAACATGGAAATCTTATTCAGCACTACGATTATGTCTGCCGCAGTGATGGCTAGCATCGTTACCGCATACAACCCTGCCGGCCAATCCTGTGACACTCACGGTAAGTGCTTGTTCTATAGAGTCATGTGTTCCGGGATGTATAGATAGATAATTGACGATGTACTTACGGTTGTTTGCAGCTGGCTATGGGTGTTCACAGGACACAAATGTTAACGGCGGGAACGCGTTCATTTACGAATGTGTTCGACAGACGAGTTCGTATATGTGGCAGGCTGCAAATGCCCCACTTGCTGCGAAGCGACGACAAGCAGCGCGTCCCGCAGGTGAGAACTGATAGTGCCACCAGGTGGGCGTTGTTACTCCTCGATATTTCCCGAGGAGTCTGAGTGTTAATATGTATGTTTTCGCCGGAAAGTTTCTCGCGTAACATGGTACGAGCAGTAGGAATCTGAAGGAGTTGTTGTAGGCTAGTGTCAGCAATATGGCATGAACTGAATAGTAGTAAGCCAGGCAGTCCAGGTTGGTGGTGAGCCAATGCTCCACAGAGAAAGAAGGTGCCCGGAAAGATGGTTGGAGGCATGTTTGGCGGATTAGATGTGCCGCGCGGGCCAGAGATCTAGAGAACAACTCAGGACAAGTACGGTTTGAAGCATTCAGAAGGCCATGTGGGTGCATTTGGAGGGCGGAAGAGGACAAGAAGTGGGCCGGAAAAGATGGCGCACAGTCCTGTAGTTCCAATATCGTAATTGGGGGCTCGATGAGGGGATCGATGCCCCAGTCTTCAATGACGATGTAGAGAACTGATTTGCTGAAACTGTTGAGAGAGGCGCAGATGTGTCGTAGAATTTGAACTTTGCAGGAAAAGAATACGAGGACGTGGCATTCAGGTAGTCATTCGTGACTCTTCTTCATCTTTCTTGAACGTCTCTTCTCTTGAACCTCGCGCTAGTATACAACATGCAGACAGTGCTTCAATCTTTTCACGGCCCAGGAAGACATCGATGATTGATGCACTGCAGATCATCGTGGATGTATTCGATGCGTTATGGTTGACCGGGAGTAAACGGTATCAAGAGATGTCGAGCCGTTAAATGAACTATGCAGCGCGTATCGGAAATACTCCGCTGTTGAACGTTGAGCATCATTGAATGTTGAACGTACGTGGTAGTCGGTTGTTTGTTTTATCAAAATGATCCGCGTAGCTCCTAGCGAGTGAAGAAATATTAACCCTAATTTAAAACTAACACTCGCTAACAAGAGTTGTTGAAAGGCGGCGCTACACTGATTGTGAAGGACAGGAGTGACATGTATCTATTCACGCCTTAACGAATCTCCCAACTCGGTGCCAAAACAGATGTTCTTCACTTTCCCCTTCCTTTCCCCAAGTACCTCCTTCTCCCTGCACCCATCCACCCACATCTTCAATCCACCGATGAGACGGGCGATCCAAATGACATCCATCAGAAAAGATACTCCACAACGGCGTCCAAAAACGCTGCCACCATACAACATCCTTCCTCTCGCTAAGCACGTGTTCATAGAACAACATCTGCCCCCCAGGTTTCAGCACCTCCGTGACCAATGCGGAGATGGTGGATTGCGGCGAGGGGATGGAGCAGATAGTGAGGACAGATATGAGCGTGTCTACAGGCGGGTGTGGCGTAGGAAGATAGGAAAGGATGCTAGAGATGTTTTCAGCACCGCATGGGAGGATGAGGAGCGTTCCAGCATCTTCGCTGTATCCAGCAGCAGAGGCAGTACGGCGCAGCTCAGCATGCATATGCACGTTAGGCTCTACAGCTACGTATTTTGCAACACGCGAATGGTCCAGGTAGTTGACAGTGTGGCCGTGTCCTGTCTTTTGCATGAACAGATCATTATTTCGGTGGAGGAAGACACAGACCTGCACCGAGCTCTAGCACAACACCATAGGCGTGCGGAGTGATGAGCCCTTTTTTGACGTCCCTTCCGGCTTCGTCGACGCTATTACCATAGAGATCCCATACATGAGACATGAAAATGCGGGAGATTTCAATTGGTTGGAAGAGTAGCGAGGGAGCACGCCAGATTGCGAGAATCGTAGGCAAGAGGCCACCGACAAGGAAAATACGTAGATCTGTGACCACTCCAAAGGCTGCATCGAGACGCATCTCAACTGTCGCGCGCAGCAAATACTTGACGATGCAGTTGGGAAGGGAAGGATGTACACGGCTAGCACAGATATTTATATTTTATGCCAATTATTAGCGCTGGATTGAGAATCAGGATCAGCATGGAACCTGTTTAGCATTGTGACGATAATCAGTGATGAGAAGATGCATGTAGGTGTGGATGGTATTTGCCGTGACGTACGCTAATCACACGGTCTTTCGACGTGATAAGTCTGTTGGACCAGTCCCATATTTGCCATTGGAGGCATGAAACAAGGGCGACTTGAAGGCGTGCAAGCCTGCAATTGGTTTACGTTCGAGGTTCAGAACGTTGAACGTTCAGGGTTTGAACTTTGAGACGATCATCACCAAAATTACACAACTCAGACATGGCTATATATGGCCATGTCGGAGCTACTATATCTGTTATATATATCCGGCGCAAGGTCTCAATGTCGGGCAATGTTAGGAAACTCAATTCCTACATGGTAACTGCTATATGATTGTAGTCTGGCATTAGGCTAGTGTACCGATATATCAAACATTGCTATGTACATAATGCATTTGAATTTCGTTCAGATTCATCAGACATTGCAATTGCATTCAGATATAACCATGTAATGCATTGAATTAGTGGTAGTACAAAGCAGTGAGGTACAACAGTTCCAAGCCTATGTCTGTGAATGCAGGTAATCGAGAGCAGACAACAAAATGGGGAAACGAGTGATCTATGAGTAGGTCAGTAGTACAACGCAGTAGCAAATGACAGCGAGAAAATGAAAGTACACATGGGGGTCTGTGAGCAATGCAAATGTGTTATGAACTCGGATAGAGTGTCGTTCCAATAAAGGAATCAAGATCAAGGTTGATCAAGGACTAAGCCTTATCGAGTCAACGCCTCCCTCAGGAGTGATCACTTAGACTCCCGCAGGATCCAAGATTCAAATGGGACAATGGCTAGCCTCCTTCCCAAGGAGCTAGAGTTCGAGTATCAAGGAGAACCGAGTAGATTCAAGTTAGAGAAAATACAAGTAGTAACTAGGGTTTATATACGTAAGGAAATCGTGCACAGACCAAGCTGGGCAAAGGGTAATGACTACTGAGAAAGGAAGGTTCATGGGAAAACAAGGTATGAGTCAGAGATAAGGGAGACCATGAGGAAACAGCACAGTGAAAAGGAAGCATTAGAAGTACAGCCATATAGGAGTCTGCAGTGATGATGAGAAAAAGAGTGGGGCACTGTAACAGAATGAGGAGAACATGCAATGATACATGAGGCAGGGGACAACTACTTCCTTGCACTTCTCCGTGGCTTGGCTTCTGCAGATGGGGCAGCCCTGGCACGCTTTGCTTTAGAGACTTTGGTGCTCCCCTTCTTGGCCTTGCGTTTATGTTTGGTCTGGATGGGTTTGGACTCCTCATCCAACTCCAAGGACCCTGTTAGACCACTGGGGGTGGGCAACTCAGCATGCGCAGGTGCTGGCACAGATGGAGCTGGAACTTTGTGAGGAGAAACTCACTTGGTAGGAGAAACTGGTTTGGGAGCTGGAACCTTGTGAGGAGAAACTTGCTTGGGAGGAGAAACTGGTTTGGGAGCAGAAGGCACTGGGGTTGGGTTGCGAGGGGCTGGTGTTGATTCACAAGGAGGTGCAGGTGCTGGTGCAGATGGAGCAGGAGGCTTGCGAATAGGAACTGGCCTGGGGGTAGGAACTGGCCTGGGAGTAGGAGACAGCACTGGAGATGATTTGCGAGAAGGTGTTGGTTTGGATGGATGAGCTGGCATTGACTCGTGAGGAGGGGGTGGTGGTGAAAGGGAAGGTGAGGGAGAAGGAGGATGTGCTGGAGCTGCCTTGGCTGCACAACGAGCCACCATTTGGGCATGGACTCTTGCCAAGTTGTTATCTCTGTCTTTGCAAGAGCTGGAGACTCTATCATCATCCTGAGTCCTATTGTTGTCATGGCCTTCCTCATTCTTGAATAGTTTCCTTAGATAAATAAGGGTTAGCATGAACCTTGAAGGATATAACAAAGCCTCACATGTTCCAAGCTTTGAGGAGTTCTTCTTTCCACTCCAGATCAGGTGAATCTTCGATAAGCTTGACAACGTTGTTGTAGAAGTCCTGGTAGTTGAAAGCACCATCAATTTCAGACCAAGCATTCTTAGTGCTGATACTGAAATGAACCTGAATAAAATTGAGTAACTCATCAGTATGTAAGTCTAAAGTGATCAAACCTGTAAGCAGCCATAGGCAATATGCGCTGCTTCCACTGTGGTCATGTTGTGTAGGGCAGCATTGCAGGTATGTGTTGTGTGCGTCTCCCCTCCATATGCACTCGATGGACTTGTAAAAATGTGCTGCATAGTCTAATAAATAAAGAAATATTGATCTAAAACAGTGACAAAAAAAATGCCTACCTGCTCCAACAAATAACCATCAAACATGCCTTCGAACATGTTGTCATTGTCGTAGTCTTCACCTGGTGGGTCTCCAGCCCATAGAAATGCAGGAAGTGTGGATGCAGTCAAGTTGATCTTGCCACATTGCATGTCTTTAAATGCCCTGTGATATGTTAGACTAACATGAGGCAAAATTTACAAAAATTCACTTGTCAGCATCCTCTGAAAATCTTTTAAGTTCCCTGACTGGACAGAGAAAGTGCGCTAGAATAGGGTGGTTGATACCCATGTGGGTATGCGAACCACTTCCATCATATATAGCTGGATGTATTGGGTGGTCCTTGGTGTTGAAGGCCGTGTAATGGCCAATTTGACTCTTGAGGCATGAGGTGTCGTCAGAGCAAGTAGCTGAGATAGTAGCATCCATCTGATGGATTAAATAAGTACATGATATGCGCAGATATGCACATATACTCACCTTCTTGATGATGGTATTAAGTTCTGTGGCTTTCTGAGGATCGCCAAGCAGAGGCTTCAAGCTTGGAGCGAGTTGAAGCAAGTGAGTGAAGTTCCTCTTATATCGCTCTTGGACCCTAGGTGATCTATGGAGCAATAAGAATCAGTCCACACTAAGATTTGAGACTGACTTACATCTTTGAGAGTCGCTTGTTGTGACAAACCTGGGTGTCTTCGTCTTCTGATAACTCTCCATTCTCTGCAGCATTGTGCTGCTGCAGAGCTAGACCTACATTAATGAGTTGTTTTGTCTTAGAAAACACATCAATACAATGTGCTATGCAGCATGCAGCAGCAAGGAATTCCTCATGAGGATTGCTATCAGAACCCTTGTTCCTATATTGAAACATTATTAGTGATTGCAATATCCAAACAAAATATTGATGAATCTACTTATGTCCCTTTCTTGTTGTCATCTGATGAGCACTGCCTTTTCTTTGGCCTAGTGACTTTCTTCGAGATCTTCTTCAGAGGTACAACTACTACTGACTTGGATGAACTAGAACTGTTGGATGAAGAAGACGATGAAATAGAAATAGCGCATTGTCCTGCATGATTTGGGAATCATGCAGAACATGTATATGACATATCATCCCACATTTCCATAGTCTGTTAGCTTAGTCCTCAGACTACACAAAATGTACTTTGAGTACAGACTCAAGTGCAATATTTCACTTTGCATGCTCCAATCATGCAAAAAATATGGTATGTTGAAGAAAAGTCAAATATGATGAAGAAATCATATATTGACCTGGTCAAAGTTGATAGTCATACAAAAGCTTAGGTTATTGCCTATCATTTGGCTTATTTACTTTGACTAGAAATAACCAAGGAGAAAAGATAAAAGCCTACCAAAACCCTATCTAAAAAGCCAGTGTTTTGATTTGTTCTGTCTTATGATTTATTCTACTTTATTTTCTTTATATTTTTCTTTCATTTCTTTACCTACTTGATTCTTTGACATCCCAGAGACTCCACAAAATGTACCTGCAGGGTATGATGTCATGATGATGTCATATAGCTCCACAGAAATTTCTGGAATATTCTGTTGGATACTATGAAGCCATCTATGATGTCATAGTGATGTCATTGGATGCTAGAATGTTCTGCTCCACTTGGCTCCACTTTTGCTCCACTTTGCTCCACAATGAGGTCATTTATGATGCAACTCTGATGTCATTTCTCTTTCCAACCTTATTTCTTGGTACTATACAGTTTCTCCCATCTCATGTATTTAAGGAGAGCACTTCTCCACCCATAAGAATAAGATCTTCTTTTATCATTTAAAAAAGAACACTCCAATTCTTCCACTTTCTCTGACATTGACACTCTTTGTGTTAGCCAGGAAGTGCAGACCAAGCACATTTGGTTTACTTGCTCTGAGATCATTTATTCTTTTCTTGACTGTACCTGTGCTGTCTAGTGTGCATCTGACATATAGTTTCAGAGGACTAGAAGTACCAAGTCAAGCCATATTATCTGTGCCTGCAGATTCCTTTGTTGGATCATCTGCTCTTGTATTATATCATCTTCCTTGGATTAAACCCTTTGCATTTAGGCAGGGAAATCCAATCAGCTTCTACCAAGTTCCCTTTTCTAAGTCCTTTAGTATATCAAGGCAGGGGAATATCATTAGCATTATTTGCTACCTAGTTTTGTGCATAGTACGCACCTATTCTTTATTTTCTGTCTAGTCAAGTATAGGACTAGAGAGACTCACCCACAAACTCTATTCTCTATCTAGTCAAACATAGGACTAGAGAGACTTACCTACAGAATCTATTCTATTTGTCTAGTCAAACTCAAGACTAGATAAAGTTCTATCTACATACTCTACATTATCTGTCTTGCCGGATAAAGCTAGGCTTGTATTGTAGAACCCCTATTTACAACCAGGTAGAATCAAACCACCAGGCTGTATAGCAGGTAACCTCCCATGAACGCTGTGTTATCTACCACGAAAGAAGAAAAGTCATAGACCATGAACTTGAGGTTGTTGGCAGCATTCAGTCTTATCAAAAGTGTAATTGTGGTGTCATTGCCTTTTGACCACTTTTATATAAGACACCTCAAGTAAGAAGACAGCATTTGTGATGGGCCATGGTGTAGGACAGAAAGATAAGAATCAGTGATAAAGATGCATGAATATCATATCAATATTGACATGCTTGCCCTTGTTTGGCTCCTATTAGATTGGGCTCTGCTGGAATTTTCCGAGTAGTGTATTAGGTCGATGCATATCAATAACTCTTAATCTTATACCAACTTATACCACTTATAATGTCTGATACCAGTACTCTACCTTTCAGACCTGTCGATTGCAGTGACAAAGTCGACATCAACGGCAATTACATCTTCATGGATGTTGAAAATCTACTCATAGATTGGCCAACTTATATGATCAAGTTCACGCCCACCCACCCAGGACCTGTAGTAAGTAGACACTTCAAATTCTGAGTTGCATTGGTTTACTTATGTTAATTGTACAGGCTCTTATATTGCATTTAAAAGACACGTCCAGATTCACGTATGTCGAAGACATGGAAAGCAATACAGAGACATCAAAATTGAAGGCTCGCAAGATGTATGATACATTTTTTTTGTTAGTTAGTATACAGACTCACCATGACATTCTATCTTTTAGCTCTTCATCTAGCATGAAAGACGACCTGGATGCAACATTTGTCTCCAATGAGATGACCTCCAAGACTGAGTATGTTTTTTTGCTGGTGTTTAATTCATTTTGTCTCATCTTGATTCAGGGATGACCCCAATCTCTTCACTGCAACTCCAGTGAGGCTCACCAGAGTCAGGAAGGACTTTACCTCAAAAAAACACAAGCTCAGTCACGGTCACTTCTTTGGAGATGCAGATTCTGTTTGGCCCCCCCACTGGCCTTGTGGCTACCAAGACATTTTTTCATGGCCAATCTCAGCTTTTGAAAACCTCAAGATTACACCAGCTGATGTAGTGGCCAATGACAAAACTATGTAGTTTTTGCACTTCTCATATCATTGTGTTATTTTCAACTTTCCTTTGCAGCACTTTGTCCTGCTTTCATTTTGTTACACCTCCCTTTCACTCTGCATCAGTTACTGACACACTCTGCATGAATTAACTCATTATGCGATGTAATACTATAGCAGAATTCAATGTATTTCTTGTCCAACCATGAGTGCACTATGTTTCCATGCAAATTCTGCATCCACCATTGCATACTGGCGACCACTTCTCCATTCTTTGAACATATGTTTGTGTTAACTCAACTCAGTGGGATTCTAGGTGTAGGTGTGTGTATTGTGCGTTTTCATACTTCATCATTACACTAACCCACCTTGAATAGTCATAACTGCCTTCCTGGACAGCACGTGTTGATGTGTCTGACTCAGGTCTCCACAACTTAGAGGTATGTGTATTGTGCTTTCTCATCTAATTACCTTCCTGGACAGCATGTGTACACTCATGTCTCCCCATAGATGTTCTTGAATAGTCATAACTGCCTTCTTGGACAGCACATGTCAATGTGTCTGACTCAGGTCTCTGTCCCCTCTGATCCAATGGCTATAGTGCCTTGAAGATTTCCATTATCAGGTGTGTTGTATGTTCAATCAGCCTTTTGTCAGACTACTCACAGCTGGTGTATATATTGATGTTATCAGATGAGCTACACAACAATTACATGTTGTCCCACAGTGTGTTGCCTCCCTGAAGATTCATACTCATGCATCTTCACTGCATTATCTTTACATGTTGTCCTGCAGCATCTCACCTCCCACATTGTTTCCTGTCTTCGTGGCACAACACTACTAACATCAGACACATCTATGCATGCTTCACTGTGCTGCACATAGGATCTCATTTGGGAGTTTGAAGGCTGTGAGTCCCAGCCTGAGGGAGACTGCATGCTTGTCCACTGGCACACTGCAAAAGGTGCTGCTGTGACTCAGATGCTTTCACAGATCGGATTTGCAGCATGATATGATGTGAACCTTGAGTATCACTGGGGTGTGTCCATGTGATTCACACCAATTGTTCAGGTATTGACATATCCTTGCATAGATTTAGAGGTACTTCTATTTCAGATAAACAGATAAATGGCCCCTTGCTCCCATCTGAATCCCCCACTCCTGCTACTCTCCATGGATGGACTCACCTGCCTTGGGTGTGGGAAGGCTTTCAACAGCCAGAGGTGCTTGAGCACACATGAGACACTATGCGAGACTCACCATGAATTCAGCACCCAGATCAGTAAATCATACCAGCACTCTGAAAGAGATTGCAAGATCAAGAAGAGAAAAATCAACTGTCAAGAGTCTGTCAGTGGAGAGGAAGATGGAGATGCGATTCTGCCAGATCCCCCCCAAGAAATGGGTGACATGAATGCCGGAGACTGGCATATTCAGATATGTATCTTCCTTTTAATTCTCCAGAACTGATATTTGACATATATTACAGGATGTCAACATTCCTGGACCTTTGCAATGATCCCCTTTGCCACCATTACCTGAGCCTAGCACAGCTCCTATTCACTCCAATCATTCTGGGCGCATTATTCACATGCCCAAACAATATGCCAACTTTGTTCCTGGTGAAGACATACCTGAAGTGGCTCAGCCTGAAGATACCATGTCTGAGGAGGCTGATCACATTGGTAACAAACTAATTTCTTTTCAGACAGAACCAGATGTGATGGGATTGTACAGAGTCTATGCTACTTGTCCTACTCTGTTTCCACGGTCCTCCCTCAATAGCCTATGCGACACACCAATGTTGCAGCATGATACCAGCAATCCCAATAATACCCCACCTCGCCTTCACACTGGCCCCCCCTCCCATTTTCTGTCACCCCTGAAAATCTATATTCTGCATTTAGTAGCCCAACAGCCAGATTGCTTATGTGCTGGCAGTATTCCAGCTCCAACCTAATTTCTGATGCTGCCATGCAGCGACTCACAACATTCCTCAATGACGACACTTACAACTGGGATGATGTGAGAATTTTCAATGCCACCCAGGAGAAGAAACTTATTGCAGAGTACCTCGAGGACCAATCAAACCCTTTCAGTGCTAGGAATGGGTGGAAGGAGTCATCGGTCTATATTCACCTTCTGAAAGAAAAAACAAAGTGGCCATCAGAACGCAATGCCCCTGAGCTCGAAATTAAAGGTGTATGCCATTGATCATTGATTGATATCATAACAGAGGTGTTTGAAGATGGTGCAGTGACAATGTTCCACATGACACCATTCTGTCATATGTGGAAAGTCTCAGAAGAACAGAGTATAGAAGTTTTTTCAGAGGCATATGCTTCACCTGCAATGGAGGCCTACATTGAGGTCAACTCCCTTCCTCATGAACCGGACGACAATCTTGAATGTGTCATAGCATCACTCATGATGTATTCCAACTCAACACACCTTTTGAATTTCAGCGATGCCTCCCTCTGGCCATTCTATGTATTTTTCGGAAACAAATCTAAATACACACGTGGGAAGCCTACCACTTGTGCATGCCATCACATCATGTACATCCCTACAGTAAGTCTTTTCAAATCACTCAAAGCAACCCTTATTTATGAAACATTAAGATTCCAGATGATTTTCAAGATATATACTTTAAGTTTTTTGAGGACACATCTTCATCGGAGGTGTACACACACTGCAAATATGAGCTTATGCAGGCAATATGGAAACTCCTTCTTGATGAAGACTTTATGCATGCTTATGAGCATGGCATCATAATCCGCTGTGGAGACAGAATCACTTGCAGAGTGTTTCCATGCTTTTTTGCTTATTCGGCAGATTACCCTGAAAAGTGTGTTTTTTCTTTTGTTCTTGTGCTTATAGTGATATGAGATCAGGATCTTGCTTGCCAGAATCAAATTTCTTGGTGAATGTCTTTGCCCATGCTGTCTAATCAAGAAGGTAGATGTATCCAAGATGGGAACAGAGGGTGATATGCTTGATTGATTGACACTTCAACATGTCAACGATCTAGCCTGATGTAAAAAGATCAATCATGCACGCAAGCTCATTTTTGAATGTGGTGCACCAGTGGATGGTAAGTATGTCAAATCAATCCTTAATTCCAAGTCCCTCATGCCTACATGTGTGAGTACTTGACCATATGTTATTTTCAATTTGTTGCTAATCAAACTTAGAATGCATTTACAGATCAGCTTTTCACCTTTGGATTCAATCTATTTGTGATGTTCATGGTGGACATGCTACACAAATTCAAGCTCAGCATATGGAAGGCCATTTTCACCATTTGATGCGCATCATGCATGCTGCTGGGGGTAATGTGGTAAAGGATTTGAACTGGAGGTACATTGTTTTTTATTATTATAATTACTGACTACAGAACTATCTACAACAGGTACCATCGTGTTCCTACATTCAGGAGAGGAACGATCTGGCATTTCCACAGGAATGCCTCCATGATGAAATGTCTTGCAGCACGAGACTTCGAAGATCTGTTGCAGGTGAGCCTCTGGGTTCAATCATTTTTAACACAATTATATCATATCTTGAATTTCAGTGCTCAATCCCAGTATTCAAGGATCTACTGTTAGATCCTGATAATGACAGGAATATTCTGGACCTTTTGTTCAACCTCACTACCTGGCAAGCTTACACCAAGCTCCATTTACATACTGAAGACACTCTGGATTTTTTCAACTCAGCAGTGGTTCTCCTTGGCAAGAGTGTTCGCAAGTTTCAACAGACAACTTGTGAAACCTATGTCACCACAGAATTGCCTCACAAGCATGCTGCTCAGGGGCATTGACAGGCTGCTCTAGCTGCCAGGCAGGGTCAGTTAGCTAAGGTGAAGGGAGGTGTATCATGCCCAAAGGTAAAGAAACTTAATATTGAGACATATAAGTTTCATGCACTCAGAGACTACCCTAACATGATCAGGATGAGGGGGACAACAGATAATTACACTACACAACCAGTGAGTTTTTTTAAATGTCATTGATCATATATTTAATTTTATAACAGGGTGAACTAGAGCATAGACGACTCAAAAGACGCTACCCTCGCACTGCCAAGACTAAAGCCACTATGACTGCAAGCATTGCAACTCAAGATGCCATTGAACGTCTCTGTAGCAAGGTCATCAATGCTCACACACAGCTTGCTGCCGTACAGGGTAGCAATTGATGTCATCATGTGTGGACTTCACCATCAGAACATTACCATATTGCCAAGTCTACTTGTTTGACTTATGACCTTACAGCATGGTTAGGTGAGCTGGGTGATGATCCAGCAGTCCAGGTATGTATTTCTTACTTTAAATCTGAATGTGTATATAATGCAGTGATATAGAACTTTATTCCTCACCTGAAAGATCATTTGTACACTCATCTGCAAGGCCTTGCCTATGAAGGGGATGAGCATGACTTTTCCAATGCAGAGCGCAACTTAGTTCTTATCATGGACAACAAATTATTTGAACACAGCATCCTTCAGGTCAACTATACTACATATGATCTTCAATGTGAGCAAGACTCCATCAACCCCTGCACTCATGCTGATCTCATGGTCATGTCACATGAGGACGACCGCACTCATCCTTACTGGTATGCCCGTCTCATCAAAAATTTTCATGTCAATGTGGAATACTATGACACTCCTAATTCAGTATGGTCCCATCCCAAATGAATGGATTTTCTATTTGTTAGATGGTTTAAATGTGATACCACTGCAGCTGGCTTCACTGCAAAGAGACTTCAGCACCTCCAATTTTTTGAGGATGACAGTCCCAACACATATGGATTTCTTGATCCAGAATGCATCATTTGGGGCGTTCATATCATTCTGGGTTTCACTTTTGGCCATCCTGAAGGACTTCTGATTCCAATGATCAGATGGCACAAATCAGACCCCAATTGGGTGTTGTATTATGTGAACATGTATGTTTATTATTTTATTCACCATCTACCTATTAATTATATACATGCTACTTAGGTTTGTAGATAGGGATATGTTCATGAGATTTCAAGGGGGCACTGTTGGCCACAAGGGTATGCAAGAGTGGGACGACTTCTTGCAGCACGAGGGACATGTTCCCAAAGATTCAGATGATGAAGCTGAAGATATTGCCGATGAATTTGATGAGGATGATGAGGATGACAAGGACAAGGACAAGGACAAGGGTGATGGGGATGACAAGGATGGGGATGAGGACAATGAGGGCAATGAGGATGAGGATGAGGATGAGGATGAGGATGAGGATGAGCACAATATCTTGATGGACAATGAGGAGGATGAGATTATGGCTGATGACAGCAAGGAACTCAATGATAACATACTTATGGAAGAAGGCTATGGTGCCCTTTAGGTACTTTGCTCGAGCTTCACCCAGTTTTCATATTATATATTTAGAATTACTCTACATACATTGTATGTATCTGAATGTATCTGATGCCTGTCTGACAGGCACACTACTAGATGAGTGGTGTCTGACAGATGGAATGTTCGATGTCATCGTATCGCACCAATATGTCAAATGTCGGAGATCACCGGTATGTGTCATTGGTGGCATCAGAAAATTCAAAATGTCATGTGATGTCTGGATTTGGTAATTTTGGTGATGATGGCAGCATGGATTCCGATGGGCCACGTGAATATCACGCAGTCACACCTGAACTCTAAACGTTGCTTGCAGTGAACCTGCAGGCTGCAGCTCAAATTATCAATGTTACGATGATGGCACTCAGCGCTCAGCAATGCCAATCAATCTGCACAAGATAAATTTTATCGAACGACAGGGTTATCGCAACTTCCAAGACTGCTTCTTGCACTTGTAGCTTGAAGCTTTGATAACATATACCCAACACATGCTCAAGAAGCAATGATTCTATTCTGCGACGTGTAAACTAGACACCAGCTAGCATGGCAATTATATATTTCGGCAAGTTGTGCCATTCTCCCCCCCTGCGTCTACCAAATACGACAGCCAAAAAAAAACATGCAAAATGCGTGTTGTCCTACATCTATCAGGATTGACCTCCCAACAAGCGAGTGAGAGGTAAGCTAGACTGGGCTGAGTGTAGCACCTATGGACAAACTTATAAAAATGGGATCAAGCGAGTGAGGAACCTGCCATGGCCGTCCAGGTTAGTCCTACTAAGAATGTGTAAGGGTCAACCAATCATTGCAGATGACTCAAGGTCTGAATTTGTTGGGTTCAAAGGCTCAAAACTGACGAACACATATTCAATGGATGCCAAGGGTTTCCTATAGCTCAAGAACGCGACAAAGACGGTGATCCAAAGTTTTGGGTAACGTACGACAGGGTTTCGGCGGAGTACGGTGATGACTTCCTCACGTGGGCAAATGATGATATGGATTATCTTGACGTTTGTGCGTTCATCTATACACCCTTAGTGCAAACCTAATGCGCTAACAAGGCTGGTTTATTCTCAGCTGTGAACTCCACTTTAATTGTCGGAATGCAGCCTAATCCAGGAGACACTACCAATGTCCTCTTGTTGCACCTGATTTAAATCACACTGAGCGGCCCAAATGCTGTAAATGATATCAGCAGTTAATCCTTGTATATGGAACATCCTTCTTCGACTGTTTCGAGACAGGCTGGCATAGGCGAGTGTCTGGATACAAACGCCAGCCTCGCATTTAACGTCTTGGGAAAGCAATGGCTTAACTCTACGGGGGGGGAGGGGGGGTCTCTAGAGGAGCGCTGCATACAGAGACAGATGTAATTGGATGGGCTGGAGTATTATTACCTCCAGACTGTAAATATTGTAGGTGTCCCCTGTCCTCCTAATATCCCTGCTCCCCTTTTGGCTTGTCGCTTAACGCCAACATGTGGACCCAGCAAATGACGATATCCAGCATCATCATCTGCATCACTGCGGATGACATTCTCATCTATGCAAGCACTATTGTCATGTCAATCTTGCGTCCGGACACAGGAACAGAGCTAACATCCTCAAACATGTCCACCCGTACAGATGCGTTGTCTTTCCTACTAGCACAGCCATTAAATTGTCCGCCATCTGCTGGATACTAGAGACATCCACTCACTGGAAGTCGTTGAGGCTGTGGCTGCAATGGTACCTCTCGCCCAATGGTCTCCGCGGTTTGGTGCTTCAGCGATATATATATATATATATACGCTTATTAGATAACTTCCAGGCCTATTATTATAGGAAAGAGTCTTCTGTGAAGTGCGTCAAGGCTATAACTCATCTTTCCAGCCAGCCGGCGAAAATTGATCAACACCTTCTTTTCGGCGTTTGGGTCCGGAATCGTTTGGGAGGGAGGAGTCGTTTTATTCGTGATGCGGATGGCCGTTCCGCCTACAATCAGCTCAAGAACACAGCAAGAGGAAACTCGAAGGAAGCATCATGCTGACGTATGCACTGCTCTGAAAACAATGCTTGTTCACGGACAATTTTATGGCCTTTCACTTCCGGGTGATGGAGGCTTGGTTTAGGATGGTGGTCTACGATGGTGTCACAGTGGCGGACTCGTGCCCAGCTGTGAAGAATTTGACTGGTTCGTCGGCTACTCAGCAGGAGAAACTGACAACAAAGCAGATGACGAAACAGTAGGCGATGCTCTGTTTGCGCTAAGTGCCACGCACAGACTAGGAAGCTCTACCAAGCAGTATTCCTACGTCACGGCACTTATCCGCTGTATTGTCCCCACCAGACCTTCTCAAGTTCGACATGCTGCACTGGGAGCTGTTTCTAACACTCGCGAAGAAATATTTTCCATCACAATTGGCTCGATGCAACAGGGTGTAGATGCAACACCCCAGTACGAGCTTCCTTGTGCTATTTTAGCTGTCGCACGTCTAAATTATGACCCAACAGTCTACGGCAATAATCGGTCCGGCGCTTCTTCCTCCTGCAATCGAGACTGCTGCTATGCCCGACTCATCTTTACCCTGGCAATGAACGATAAGTGGCATGAATATCTGAGCAGTCATGGCCATCTCGAGTGGGGCATTTCTCTTGTTGACGCAGCTCAGGGGCTTGTACATTGGGATCTCGAATGTTACCCTCGCTGGGATATTCACGTATACTGATACCTTGGACAGGGTTTTCCCTTTCAATTCTACCCAGGAGAGGCGGGGGACATTCTTTTGGAAGGTTAATAGTCTACCCCGAAGCGAGGGACGAGCGTAGAGTTGGAATCAGGACTTTGTGGCAGCAGCAGTGCAGCACATGGCCTCTCTTGTCTCCGCACCATGCAGTGCTCACGTCATGCTCTGGCAGGCTCAAACCTGCCTGCTGCCTTCTACTTTTTATTTATTAATCTTCCTTCTCTTCGAAATTTTCGTGACCCTAGGTGATTCCCCGAATTTTTATTTTGCCTGATTTCTATTTTCTAGGTTATCTTCGCCTACTTGGCAAACCGGTGAGCTCTGAGGGCCTAAATCCTTGCATGCATCCGCATGCAATGAAGACAAGTCCGACAAGGAAGCTGGCCATGGGTAGGGGGCATCTGAAAGCGCTTCTGCGCTGCCCTCTCAAGTTTACTCATCCAGGAAGTTTTCTGTTGCAAACTTGTCGGGTTTTCTCGCTCATCAGGGCAGGAAACCTGATAAGGGGAGGGAACTATCTGCTTATTCACCTCAATGTGGAGTAGATTGCCTAGTATATTAGTTTTTACCTTATCTCTCCCATTGTTCTTACCCGCACCTTGCTCATGTGGATGCCCGCACTTGTGCTCATGCAAATGCCCATACCTTTGCCTTGAGTGGCATCAGGGAAATGTAATTCACTATAGTGCTACAGGGCGCTCTGTAGCACAATCCAACCAGCTGATGGAAGGCCCGCCCTTTTGCTCGTGTAGATGCCTGCAATGTTGCTTACCCGGATTCCTGCAACATTGCTCACGCGAATGCCTCCAAGCTGCTACCTCTTCTTTCCAACGCCGCTTTCCTTACATCAAAGCGTCCCCCTGCGGCTCCTACAATTTGAAATCTGAGGTTCACTTCGCTGCGTCGTTCTCACTCCTACCGCCTTAGGAATCACAGCTCACCTCGGCTCTCGCTCGCACAGGTTGGGGCCGCTATTGGGGCCGGGTCGTCCCTTCAGGGCTTCCACCCAAAAACAAACCTGCTTCAATACAGTAAACATTCCCTTTCGTTCTCGCTACTGCTACTCAGACCGATGCACGACAGCAAACACAAAGTCACGAGTGTGCGCATGCCACTCTGCACTGGTCGGCGAACGCATTGAAGCCCTTCCAGCCCTGGTGACAACGACGAGGGCGAATTTGCCAGGTTCAGACAATGGTGTTCTGAGCATGAAGTCAACAAATCTCGCTATACATGTTCATGAGGTTTTGGAAAATTTGCAGTGGAAACAAGCACACCTCGTGCCTACCAGTCGACTTGCTCAGGCTGAAATTGATGCTGCACTCTCCTTCATGCAGGGCTCGATTGGCATCGGAGAGCTCGAACACTTCCCAGGAACGATGGGCTTTCAGGTCTTGAAGGAATTTGTTGCGTCACCATTTCTCCTACGACTTGTAGTTTTACATTGAAATCGGTAAATTCCGTTTGTGGCATTTGAAATTTGAGCCGTTGCTATCATGTACTCACCTTAGGACAAATTACTGCTAGTTCACGCATACAAAGCGACGAATCACTGGTTTCCTTCGACCTACTGTAGCGGAGGCTCGTAACTTGGCGGTAATGAACTCAACTTTGACCGCTGCGTCAATTATTTTTCAGCGCGGCACGGTGTGTTCTTCCCTAATCATCTAGTACTGAGTGGTAATACCGATCAGCTCACTGGATGATAACGAGATGTGATAATTGATCAAGCCCGTCACACGATCTGTCGCCGGTGACATCGAGCCTAAAGTGCACCTATGGCGCTCAAACCATCAATTATGCTACATGCACACTATTTGTATTGTCCCTTCGAGGAGTAAGTATGACCGCCGACCGGTTTATGTACAACTTTAGGATAAAGACTACATCGCTGATTACAGCATCAGAGAGCTTTTTTAATTCTATTGAGCCTTCTTATCATTTTCTTTAAAACGGCGATTCGATACCACTTCATTGAAGGTACATTCAGGATCTACATATGATGACCAGGGGCTGACGGTGGCCAACAATACAATGAGCATCAATACTTGAGTTCCAGAAATGCTACTGCATTGTGCAGAGTGTCCCTGGATGGCACAAGGATGGCAAAGAGATTCTTTTTCTCATTCGAGCTAAACTTCAACATTAACCTCATACCCCACATTTTGAGCGCAGTGTGGCGCCCATGCTCAGCGCTCAGCGTGTGGATGTCAGAATAAGAAAGATACCTCGACAACGTCAGCCGGGGGATTCCGGGTACCGTCACGGTGTAGTGACTCGGAGGTGATTTGCGTGAAGTCCATTCGACTCCATCTTGAGCTTAATTCTTAAGCTGCGGCTAGTATATATATTGCTCCAGTGCCCACATGTCGCTAAAATGGCTACAAAGCACCGTCACTATGGCTTCCACGATTTTGGGTTTTTCCCGATGCCGAAATCATCCCAGGACACTATCTTCTGACCATTATCCATAAGGTGATACTCTCTGCGTATGTGGTCCTGGTCCCTCTCAGGCTGATCAAGCTTCAAGGCCTGTTTGTAAGTAGTCTTTCCTGCTGCAGTCGATGTGAGAGAGAGGAAGAACGCCGTCCTCCATGACCGATTCGATAACATACATTCTGTGAGTCTTTGCCAGTCAGGTCTGTCTGCGCATGCGGCCCTGCATGCAGGTTGTCATTCCAGCAGACAAATCACGGAAGCACGTAAGTTACAAAGGGTCCTCCTGGGACCTGCATCACATACTTAAGTACATATGATAATCAGTCTTTAAATTTCATGGTTTGCATCCAAAGCTACTTCATCTGATGGTAGCATTATTCTACTCATCCCGACTGAGCGGTGAGTTGAGAATTGCCAGTATTTTATAATCTTATGTTAATGATCGCTGGAAAGCCGTGGCATTGGTATCGCATAGTATTGCCATCCTCTGTACCATCTTCAGGCTCGCTTATAGAGCCTGGATGCGTCACCTGTGGTGGGAGGATGCATGGGCGGCATCTGCACTGATCGGAGACGGTGATTTTTTCTTCTGCACTGCCTTGATCAGCAAGCTGACCATATCCCCCTACTTAGCTGTTTGCCTGGCATGTATCTGGCTCAACAGTCAAAGGGCAACTTGTGAGCACCAACTTTATACTCTAATACTGATTGCATGTTCATATCAATCCAAGCCTGGATCCTCACAGTGGCTTTCACCTGTGTCCAATGGTACGTATTATGACTCTCCCAGTAACATTCAGATTTCCGACTCACTGGGATAGGGCTGCACGCATGAGCGTCATTTTCTCCATCATCCGCATCACCAACCACTCAAGCTTCAAGGATCACAGGCAGATCACCTATCTCATTGGAGTTTCCTTCGCATGCATGTGGGCCGCGCTCCTCGCTCATAGGATCACCATGTGCGCACTCCATTCCTGTCACATGGGCAAGTCGATGGCGCTCTCGCTTCTCATCAGTCAGTACCTCTATACTTTGTGCTTTATTGCGCTGTTAGCATCACGATATGGACCTCAAATAACATTTGGGTTTTGCAGCGGACGCCACCGCGGATATTTCCCTCGTTGCTGCACCACTATATCTCTGGAGAAATGTAGGGCTTTCGCAGAGCACAAAGATGCTGGTTCTTTCCGCTTTCAGCGCATCGCTTCTAAACACAGCTATCACCATCCCTTACTCTATAATCCTCCTTAAGGTCCACAACATGGGTAAGATCACGATCATCCTCGCACACGTCAAGGTAAGTACTGTGCATGCTTCGGTGTATGCAATATCTGATGGAATCAGACTGCACTCAGTCTCATCATCTGCGACCTCCTAGTTATCGTTACCTTTGCATATCGCGTATGCTGGAAGGAATCATTTGATCTCGACCAGTCATGTGGGGTCTTCACGAGTGTCGTTTTAACACAGATGCCCTGTACCACGAACACCGGGACGTTACTCACATTAGAAGAAGAGGGGACAGAGACTGAGGGGACGAAGGCGAAGATGGAAGACGCAAGGGTAGTGTATGTCGAAGAGGGCGCTGGTACTGAGTCCTGAGGGATAGCCAGAAACTTGTACACTGTATGATTGATGTCGAGGAAAGTTGTAAATCATGATGGCAGCCCGCAGTATACTCCCCGGCAATATTAATGCTTTGCCCAGTGACTGGAGAGTTGGGGATGTAGGTATCGTGCGATGAGCTTTGAGATTGAAAATGATATTAATAAGCACTTGAGTACCGCTCAGGTAATGGTGATGTAGAGCAGCAAATACCAAGCAGGAGACAGAATAATCTAGCAACCACAAACCCAGTGAAACGAGGGTATATGCAATAAAAAGTATCCAACTCGATGTAATTAAAGCTGAGTAGAGCCTTTTGCCGTGTCCTGCCGAATATAATGGTTTTGTGTACATGCGCGGTTTTTGGGAAGGTTTCATTTAATTTGAGTTCCGAAGGGGGCCTAAGAGATGTGAATTTGGGAGCGACAATGTGTGTGAAACCAAAAAATCCAAATGCTATGTAGCTTCGTACTAAATAACTTGCGCAGCGAGAGAAAATACGAGTCCTATATGAAGATGACGATGCGAGGAAGGCCTGTATAAGATGTTAGTATCGGCAAACGCGAAGGGCCTCCATCCATTTCTACAGCCTAGTCCTGTTTAAATACTGCGCGAGCAAATTAACCCAAAGAATATCCAAGACCAAAACCAAACCAAAAACTGAAAAGACTGTCAACCATGCAGTGGCAATATGATATCTAATACTTCCATTGGTTTGCCTACGAGAGATTGCAGTGCATCTTGCAGACCGCATGAAAATCACAAATGACTCTTTCTACTGCGTGGCCGGCCGTGCACACCATCAACACATAGTCAGTCCGGCAGGTATGGGTTTAGCTCCTATGTATGTAGATCTGTACACAAAGATACATTGAGTAGTGTCTTTTCAAAGTGGGTGACTTCTCACGAGGGAGACCCGAAACCGGAACCAGCATAAACACAATCCATCTTCACATCCAGCAGTAGATGGTCGATCGTCCCTGTTCGAAACCTTTAATACATCATCCTCGTGACCATACAATTACCCTACCAGCATGACAATACAGTCCGTCCTGCTTGTGGTCCCACCACATCACAGGCGACCATTCGTTCACAGGGTTGGCAAGCGTTTGGAGGTGCCCTTATGTGACTAGCTGAGGGCCGCGTGATCGGCGCACGGCGTTGAGACCAGCCAAACTAGCAAATATACCTAGCGCTAAATTTAAGTTCTAGATCTGCATGAGTATGGGGATGTTGTCGCGGCTGTACTTGTGGAATAAATGCAACCTGGGTGTAATTCATATTTAACCCAACCTGTTGAAGCGCAGCAACAACGCCGGAGCCATGGGAGGCGAATGCAAGGCCAGACATACAGTCTATGTCATCGATGGCTTATTCAAAAAAAAACTCATCAAAAGCTTAACGCGAACGACTCACGTAGCGCAAGCTTCAGGACGAGGAGGACAAGCCCAAGCGGACCAGCAAGAGACACCGGGAGTTAGGTAACCCAGGAAAAAGAGTGTCCACTGGTATTACGGATAGCGATAGACGCCGTTCAAGACAAACGTCGTGACTAAACCTTATACAGAACATGGCATAACGAGCCCCCAAAGAGAACGGACGACTTTCTTGATGCCAATAATGACCAGCATGTACTGTGGGCTTCCTCGCTGGACAACTGCAGCCTACACCATACATTGTGTAGGCCCACAGCAACCTCCCTCCATTGTCGGAGGGTGCATGGCTAGTTTTGAGGGGAATGGACTTACACGAGAGTAAGCCAGAAGAGGGTAGAATGTATGTGAAGAATGTAAATCGAGTCTTTCAGGGTGAATTTGTGTACATAGAGCTTAGTGAGTGTCAGAAGATGAAGACGACTTGTCAAGTCAGTCTATTCGCTCCAGCAACTAGCGCGTTGATTGAGCATAGTAAAGTCCCGTGGGAACAAAGTCATTTCAAATTTTATGCCTCTCAAACCAAGTGACACACCGAGGGTGAGCGGCAGGTTCAAGTTGGCTGAGCGATTAACTGACTCTGGAATACATCCATTCAGGTCATTATGGTGGAGCCGAGCAGGGCCAGCAGCGGTGCTCAATATGTTCTTTGTGGAGCTACGAATGGTAAAGCTCCATGAAGGACAAGCTGAGCAACCCTGAGAGACCCACACTTAATAGTCCCTGCCCGGTGGGGTCCCCAGATGGAATTCGCCTCCTTACTCATCTACATATGCATAACAAGATGCTGAACGACCGATACCTAGTGGTCGAGATTAATACCAACATTGGTAAGGTACGAGTTCTTCGTATCGAACCTCAATACTCAATTTGTCATGCATAGCCCATCCATTCTTTGCTGCCTAACAAAAACGGTTCTTTATAGTAGCCGAGTCTTCATTGCATGCAAACCATATATGCGGATACGAGGAGGCTTGTTCGTTAGAACTCGAGGCTCTTTCCTTGTGATATCTTGGAGTTCAAGTTCTGCAGGATTCTTCCTGCGACACAGTGCCATGACCAGCGCTCCTCTGTTCATGCAGACTCCGACATCAAACAAGGGCAAGCGCAGCAATGGAATATACCGGGATTGTGTTGGTTTTTTTAATGGCTAGGTCCCGGTGCGTTCTTCGAATTCTCTACTTTCATCAGATGTCTTACTATCAGATCCTGCTCGTCACCCAGATTCCAATGAGCCCTGGGCCGGTGCCAAGAGTTGCAGAGCCAACAAAACGCTATCACACGCATCGATCGTCGCACAATGAACCAGCTCTATCGAATGCGCGTTACAACAACAGCAATCTGGAGATCACGGCCGCACGATATTGATACCGATAAAGTACATATACTGTCGGTGTATCGCATTTCAAGTGGGAACACGGACCCTGCACCCTCTAGCTCCTCCCCAGCTCTCATCAGCCCTGATGTATGTATGTATTTCCACCCGTCTGTTACAACGATGGTCTTTCATATTGACGTTGATGTTGAACATGCAGGAGTCCGGTCCATTTACCCTCCTCGGCCTTGCCATTCTTTCCGAACGAGCGCATACACCCATGCCACGACAATTCTGCGCTACCTCGAAAGTGAGAAATGATCCCGACTCTGAATCCTTTATGTAAGTGATATAGACTTATACCATTCCGGAATCAAAAACCAGGGATCGTGCCTCAGGACTGACGCATTCGTCATCAGTGCTATCAGCTGTCCCGACTCGCATAATCTCACAGTGTGACTAAAGAGATGAAGAGTTGGAGATGCAGACACCCCATAGGTGTCTTTGTATATACGGACACGGTTATGGTCATCGGGATCGCGTTGGTTTTATATTGTACGCTGGCGCGTTCTTCTCCGTCTCCAAGAGCCACCAGATAGCGTAACGGCATGGATTACACCACACCACACTACATCCAGTACAGTGAACCACTCGACACGCGTATTCGTCGGGTGCGTATCTACTCAGCTTTGATGTATCGTTGAAGCCTTGGCTCATTCTAGGCGTTTAGGACGCGCAGGCAGACACTATTCCTTGACGTATTGCAAAACGAATTGGAGTAGTCGATCCGCAATCGAACTTGAGCTGGAATGAATGTCTACCGAGGTTTAGAAGGGTGCCAGTATTGACAGCAATTACCTGTAATGCAGACGTAGAGTCGCGCAAGAATCCAGCAACCAAAACCCGGGTATACGCAAGAAAACGATCAATCCAACGCACTACCTCCTGCTTTCAGACGGGAACACGAGCCTTGCACGAACAATGAGACTCCAACCCTCCTCTCTCGTGTTTGTCTCCGGAAGGATTAACGCTCTCATTGCGCAACTCCTCGGGCACGAAAAAGTCAAAACAGGCAGTGGCAAGACACGCACCACACATCAATGAGGTAGTGGTGGCTCAGGTACATGGTGCTCCAATAGAGGGCCGCGGCGTGAGCCCAAGCCCATTTCGCGTACTGTGGCTACAAGGCAATGATGAGTGGTGCTTCGAGGGCGGCCCATGCAGCGTGCAAACTGCGGAAAGCGCCAAATACGAGGAGTGAGCTCGCAAAAGTGCGTTTGTAGCCATCCACGCCAAAGAGGTCATCGATGTGACCTATGCTACCTACAGATCCGGGTGTGAGGCCATGTATGATTTCGTACCGAGGTGCTGCGCAGGGAAGGACTGTTTGAGCGAATACACCAATGCAGTTTTCATAGCCAAAGGCTTTGGATTGAGGGGAGGACGACGTGAACTGCAGGGCGGGGTAGAAATTAGTTTAAGCAGAACATGAGGACCCATGAGAAAACGGGTATTGAGGGTATAATAATTGGGAAGGTAATGGAATGAATAGGGCGATTTGCATATATATATAAGATTGGTACCGTATGGAGGGACTTGCATGAGAGTGAGACGAATCCATTCACACTGCAGTACTTGCGCAAAGGTCGCAGCATGGTGAATTCGAAAGGAAAAGTAGCAAAATCACTTCAAATTTCATGCAAGCGCTTAACCGTTTCAATTGTGAATCGGGTGGTTTCTTGTCTGGCGGCAATGCGGTTTTCCTCTTTGTTTGCAGGCGTTGCCCATCCCCATTTCTTAGACCTAGTAATTCTGTTGTCCAATTCATTCCGGGACACTAAATCAATATCACGACGAAACTCCTGAAGAAATACCACAAAGAGACTGATAAAATCTATATGTAGTACAGTACCGTAGTTGATCATTTGGATCGTTTCCTGTGCTAAACATCTCCGCCAGTCGACGTATCACCACCGGCCTGGAAAGACATAGACGTCATGCCTGTTCCCTCGTCGGACATGGCCACGAGCTTAGCGTGATATTCGCGAACGCTGAGGATCAGACGTGGCCCCAGCACAAACATCTGCAATACCTGGGCAATTTGGAGAACAGCGGAATAAAGAGCCGATCCCACAGATGATGAGTACTGTATAAATGATGATGAGCAGAAGGACGCAAATGCTCAGTCGCAGGTTGGCGTACTATGATATTTGTAGACAGCGAGCCTAGTAGGGTGAAGCAAGCTACAACAGCAAAGCTAACACATGCGGAACATCAGCAAAACAAGATGATAGAATCCAATCCATCAAACTCACGCTACAAAGTAAAATGTGTGACTTTCGGTTAATACCGTAAAACAGTCCCTAATGGTCGATCCTGTCGAAGTTTGTCGCAGCTCACGGAAGTGTTTTATGACGATCCAGACTACAAGAACGAAAGCGAGGATCTCCCATATCGCGGTGGATATCATATTCTTGAAACCCAGATTTATCTGGTATATGTAATTTGTGAAAGTACACGTATGGTAGCCCAAAAGGATGTATTCTTCTGTTATCTGTCCATGAGTCTTATGTGCTAGAGAGTTTCGATGATTAAAGCTTACCCCCTGAAACACCAGTGTTTGCCATCACTGTGATCACGCCGGAGGCGATCGTGGAAGCCAGCAAGACTACAACGAGAAAAACGAGCATCTTTGTGGATCGTTGATACATGGCATATATCCGAATCATCATGATAACTTGCATGATATTTCAGTCAAGTCAATATCAGTAGTAAGGTACCACAGGTGAGCTCACCACCCAGCATAGCATTGACAACGACAGGCGTCCATGTCCATATGAGGTAAACGTTAAGGCCTAAAAACCCAGGTTACGGATGTACATTGATGCACTCGATACTTCGAATGAACTTACAGCTGTTGCAGTCAGTATGTCCAACATAACAAGGCGGCTGAGAATATCACTCACTCCTGTGTGAGGGTGCAGTTAACAAATGAATGGGAGGCATCAGTGTAGAAAACCCACTACGTCTGTTATCGAGACTGGGAAGAACCCTGCATGCCGCCAGTTAGAATAAACAAATATGGTGTATTTTGGAACCCAGAATACATACATAGTATGACGATCCTAGTTGTGAGATATGGCTTATTAGTACAGTGCAATGACCACTTGTTAGCCTCAAAACCTACACAGAATATAGTATTACAGTGTAGCGCACCTAGCATATGTTGGAGTCGACTCAGTACAACATGTCAACTGTATTCATAACACTGTAACGTACACAAACATAAAGGACTGTCATGAAGGACCAGGTTTGCATCTGGTCCGAATTAACTGCATTATCCACTCTGTTTCTAATTAGAACCTTGCTTACCCAGATCAGTTCGAACTGTTCAAAAATTCTTAGCGAGACAGCTGCGCCGACGACGTTAACTTACCTCTTGTCCGAATGTTAATGCTTAAATATCGTATAACTATTAATGATACCCTCGATCGGAAAGTATTATTTCGCTCACCCCAGTCGTATACCAACGTGGTAAATGATACAACTGCAACATCAGTCAGTGATGGTGAGATACATCTTCATCCTACTTGCTCTCTACGGACCTATAAAATAGCTGGCAAGATTGTTACTACTGATAAATGGTAACCAAGAGGGATCATTTGAGACCACGGTCATGTCTGAATGGGGCGTATGGAATTTGTGCAGACATACCATTATCCAGCGCTTTTATAGCGACCAGTCTGGATATCTGTTCCTCGAGTGACAATCTTGATTGATCCCAGCAACTGTTGTCAATGAAATAATTGGAACAGGGAAGCAGTTCCATGATCAGAAGCTCGATCAAAGCAAACTTTGTGCATGATTGGGGGATTTCTAGATTTAAATAAATTGTACGAAATACTGTAGAGATACGAACCTAAGTGCGTATCTCTACAGTATTTGAAGGCGCTGAAAATCAGTCGGTGAAACAAATGATGTTCATCAGTGGTCACCTAATCATTAACCTAGCGTAGACAAACTGCTGCCAGAGCTTCATCAGAGATCAAACTGACGGCAACGCTGTCAAAAGGTATTTAGATTCAGATAGCTGAGTCAATGGCGTCTTCCTCACACGGAGGCATATCGATCATTATTCTGTTGCACCGTCCAATCATAACGTAGCAACGTACCACACTATAATTCTCGCAAGGCTATGCTTACTAGGAGGGAAATTCATCAAGATTGTATCAAAAAGCACCTTCATAAGTAAGGTTATATATAGCAGGTGTGCACACCCAATGCACAGTAGGCGTCTACCAACCAGACATTGATAATACTTACAACTCCTCGGTGGAATCCATCAAAGGTGTCCCAACTGCAAGCTCTCGACTGGCTTGATGTTGCACGAGTCGCATCGATCATGCGGAGCTTCATCATACGACCACACTGCTGTTAATGGGATGCAGGCATATGGCATGAGCTCTTTCTTCATGCTCTAATCATCAAGAATTTCACTTGCCTGAATAGTGTGATATATGCACTGTTCAAATATATTACTTGCATCCATGACGATGGTGTAGGGAGGCAGAAATGAGTTATACCAGTATTTCCATAATTCGTTAGCTCATACACATAGCAACTGTATGATTCATAAGGCATCTAACCTTCGAAGAGTGGCGCATCTAAAACGGCCGGTGGGAACGGCGGACTGGTGGGTATGCCTTACACCAGCGCGTTTGCAGACCCAGAGATGCGTTGGAAACACTGGGGGTCGCCTAGACTAGATAGTACTGTCCTCCTTAGAGTCCAACTCTCCATAGGACATGAAAATTGAATTTAAAAAAAATTACACCAGCGCCTCAGGAGCAGAGATAAGAATGGGCAGTGTGCCCAATCACCAGCGCACGGCCTGTTAATACCAACAAGGATCTCTCCGCTGGTCGCCCACATCTGACACATGATACAAGATAGCGAACTGCTTACCCGTCAATTACTGCATAGTATTGGTTTTTTTTCATCAGAAACCTTGCGCCATCCAATATTGGGTCCCCAAGGTCACGAGCAACGTGTAAGGATCGAGATTTGATGTGCGTGAATGGTTCAATGACTAGCTTTGCGTATATGTAGGATTGGTACCGTATGGATGGACTTGCATGAGATTGAGACGAGTTCATCCACACTGCAGTACTCGCGCAAAGGTCGCAGCATGGTGAATTCGAAAGGAAGAGGAGCAAAATCATTTCAAATTTCATGCAAGCGCTCAACCGTTTCAATTGTGAATCGGGTGGTTTCTTGTCTGGCGGCAATGTGGTTTTCCTAGGCCTAATTCTGTTGTCCAATTCACTCCGGAATACTAGATAAATATCACGACGAAACTCCTAAAGAAATACCACAACGAGACTGATAAAATCTATATGCCCATGTAGTACAGTACCGTGATTGATCATTTGGATCGTTTCCTGTGCTAAACGTCTCCACCAGTCGACGCATCACCACCAGCCTGGAAAGACATAGACGTCATGCCTGTTCCCTCGTCGGACCTGCTCACGAGCTTAGCGTGATATTCGCGAATGCTGAGGATCAGACGCGGGCCAAGCACAAACATCTGCAACACCTTGGCAATTTGGAGAATAGCGGAATAAAGGGCACTTCCCACAGACAATGTGTACTGAAGGAGTGATGATAAGCGGATAGACACAGATGCTTAGTCGCAGGTTGGCGCACCATGATGTCTGAAGACGCTGAACCTAGGCTGAGGCAAGCTACAGCAGCAAAGCTAACGCATGCGGAACTTCAGCGAAACAAAATAATAATATCTAAACCACCAAACTCACACTACGAAGTAAAATGCGTGACTTTTAGTTAACACAGTAAAACAGTCCCCGATGGTCGATCCTGTTGGAGATTGCCACAGCTCACGGAAGTGTTTTATGACAATCCAGATTGCAAGAATAAAGGCAAGGATCTCCCATATAGCGATAGACATCACATTCTCGTAACCCAGACTTATCTGGTATGTGTCAGTTGTGTAAACACACATATGGTAGCCCAAAAGGATGTATTCTTCTGTTATCTGTCCATGATTCTTATGTGCTAGAGGGTTTCGATGATTAAAGCTTACCCACTGAAATACCGGTGTTTGCCATGACCGTGATAACACCGGAGGTGATCGTGGAAGACAGCAAGACTACAACGAGAAAAACGAGCATCTTTCTCGAGTGTTGATACATGGCATATATCCGGATCGTCATGATAACTTGCATGATGTTTCAGCCAAGTCAGCATCAGTAAGGTACCACAGGTGGGCTCACCGCCCAGCATGGCATTGACGACAATAGGTGTCCATGCCCACATGAAGTAAACGAAAAGGCCTGAAAACTCAGGTTACTGATGTGTGTTGATGGACCCGATGCTTCAAATGAACATACAGCTGTTGCAGTCGTTATGTTCAATGTAAAAAGGCGACTGAAAATATCACTCACTCCTGTGCGGGAATGCAGTTAGTAATTGAATAGGAATGGGAGGCATCGGTGCAGAACACTTACTACGTCTGTTATGGAGACTGGGAGATACCCTACATGCTGTCAGTGAGAATAAATAAGCGCGGTGTATCTGGAGATACATACATAGTATGGTGATCCTAATTGTGAGATATGGCTTATCAGTACAGTGCAGTGTCGACTTGTGAGCCTTGCAAACTTACACAGAATATAGTATTCCAATGTAGCGTACCTGGCATATGTTGAAGCCGACTCAATACAACATGTCAATTGAATTCATGACATAACTTACACAAACATAGAGAATGGTCATGAACGACCAGCGTTGCATCTGTTCCAAGTCAACTGCACTGTTATCCAGTTCGCTTCTGGTATAAGACCTTGCTTACCAAAACCAGTTCGAACTGTTAAAACATTCTGAGTGAGACAGCTGCGCGGATGAAATCAACCTACCTCTCGTCCAAATGTTAATGCTTGAATCCCATATAAATATTAATGATACCCTCGGAAAGTATTATTTCACTCACCCCAATCGTATATCACCGCGGCAGAAGATACAACTGCAAAACCAGCCAATAATAGTGAGACATCACCATCTTCATTCCACTTGCTCTCTACGAACCCATAAAATAACCGGAATCATCATCATTAACGATAATCGGCAACAGAGTGAGATCATTTGAGACTACGGTCATATCTGGATGGAGCGTATGGAGTTTGTGCAGACATACCACCATCCAGCACTTTTATAGCGTCTGGATATCGATTCCTTGGGCGAGAATCTTGATTGATCACAGCAACTATTGTCGATGAAACAGTTAGAATGGGGAAGCAGTTCCATGATCAGAAGCCCTCGATCGAAGCAAAGGGCATGATTGGGGGATATTAGATTTTAATGAAACGCGTGAAATATTTGAAGGCGCTGAAAATCAGTTGGTACAGCAAGGGATGTTCCAGATCTCATACTGTTCGGCAGTTCTGCATCAGTCTCGTCAGTGGATCATTAGCCTAACATAGACAAACCGCCGCCAGGGCTCCGTTAGAGAGCAGACTGACAGGCAACTTCAAGAGGCACCTAGATCCAGACAGAGCTGGGAATAGCTGAGTCAATAGTGTCTTCGAGGCACCGAGGCATATTGATCACTATTCTGTTGCACCATCCAATCATAACGTAGAAACGTACTGCACTTTGATTCTCGCAAGGCTATGCGTAGGAGGGCAATCCATCAAGATTGGATAAAAAAAGCACCTTCAAAAGTAAGGTTATACATAGCCGATGTGCACGCCCAATGCACAGTGGGCGTCTACCAACTGGACATTGATAATACTTACAACTTCTCGGTGGAGTCCGTCGGAGGTGTTCTATCTGCTAGCTCTCGTCTGGCTTGATGTCGCATGAGCAGCATCGATCATGCGGAGCTTCATCATACGACCACACTGCTGTTGATAGGATGCAGGCCTACAGCATGAGCTCTTTCTTCACACTCTGATCATCAAGAATAGTGCGATATGTATTGTACTGTTCAAATATATTACTTGCTTCCGTGAGACGATGATGTAAGGAGACAGAAATGAACTACACCTGTGTTTCCATATTCGTTGTCTCGTACACATAAGCGTTTAAAACGGCTGGCAAGAACGGCAGACACGCCTCACACCAGGTCATTTGCGAATCCAGAGATGCGTCGGGGACACTGGGGGTCGCCTAGACTAGATAGTACTGTCCTCCTTAGAGTCCAACTCTCCATAGAACATGAGAATTGATTTTTTTTTAAATTACACCAGCGCCTCAAGAGCAGAGATAAGGATGGGCAATGTTCCCAATCATCAGTGCACAGCGTGTTAATATCAACAAGGATCTCTCCGCCGGTCGCCCACATCTGACACCTGATACAAGATAGCGAACTGCTTACCTGTCAATTACTGCAGTGTTGTTGTTTTTTGATCAGAGACCTTACGTTATCCGATGTCGGGTTCCCAAGGTCATGAACAACGCGTAAGGGTCGAAATTTGGTGTGTGTGAATGGTTCGATGACTAGCATATACTGGGTGACGCCTGACGGATCGTTAATGAGGAGGGGTTGAGACGAAGCAAGTGTAGTACTGTACTCAGTTTGTGTATGACTAGTGCTGAGGTGGCTCGGCTATGGCTGGTTCGGCTTCGGCTTTTATTGGTTATGCGGCAGTTTGGTTAGTAATAGACGGGCTCACATAATTTTTTGGTTCGGTTCACGTCAGCCAGCCATGTGAACCAACCTTAAGCCCATTATGTGTGAAAGGCAGCTTGAGCCGGCTTGAGCTGGATGAAACTCGCTTCAGCCAACTTGACCCCAACATGCATGCAACCTCGTCTGTTGGAATCTGACATTTTCCTGTCTAACAATTCTAATATCTTACTGTACTATGAACAAGGTCCCTGCCCGAGTCAATGGCAGATTTAGGGTAGGAGACATGCTAGGATCTGGCTCATATGGTAAGTAATATGTTGTTGTACATGGTTTTTTTTTGAAATTGGGTGCACAATGCACATACTAGGTGTTGTGTACCATGCATGAAACATCATTAACAATGATGATCTTGCCATCAAACTCGAGCCTCTTGTCAACAACTCATCTTCTTTGGAGCATGAATATTGCATTTTGAAGCAACTTGAAGGTGGAGCTGGGATCCTGCATGTTGAGTGGTTTGGTAGAGAGGCAACATTTGACACCCTTGTCCTCGACCTCCTCGGACCATCTTTACATGATCTCTTCCTTGCGCAAAATCGAAAATTCACCCTTCATACCATCCTGAATATTGGAGACCAATTGGTAAGTTGGTTTATGGTGGGTCCTGGCATTGGCAGATGCTAATTTATTTCCCAGCTCTCTGTTGGAATAACAAGCACGCACTAAGCCATCAAACCTTATACCCTTGTCTTGTATGTTCACTCTATTGTCTCATACTTGTGCTTTATGTGCTCTTATATGTTGATTCACCTTTTGTACTTGTGACTCCATTGACTGCTTTGGCCAGTGCCAGGTGTACCATTATGTATGTTTCAGTCTCATTTACCTCTAACAAGACCCATTTTCTCTATTTAATCAGTGTATATTGGACTTGATACCTCAGACGTTCACATCCGCGTGCTCGATCTGAGGTATGACACTTTGTTTTCACACATATTCACCTTTGCTAACTAGTCTTAGTGTATCTGTTCTTAATAGGTGAATATTGATTAGACGTTCACATCCGCGTGCTCGATCTGAGTGTATCTGTTCTTAATAGATCCACGCGAGAAGCTTGTACTAAGCTAAAAGGTTATGAGCCCTGAGCTCTAAAGATTAACCTACACGTCTCACCTTCCCTGCAAAACGATCCATTGCTGCAATGTCCACTGCCGTTCCGGTCACCACTGATACCCTCCCATCAAACGTACCCAAACTTGATATCAAGGGTACAAACTGGGCCATATTCTCATTGCGTTTTCAAGTCGCTGTCAAGGCCAAGGAGTTATGGAGGTTCTTCGACGGGTCGTGTCCCCGTCCAGCCTCACCTGTAAGCGCTACAGAAGTAACTGTCTTAGAAAAGTGGTGGAAGAATGAGAACCTTGCAAAGCACCTACTCACCCAAAGAATCCCCGACTCCACAGCACTGCGCATTCGAAATCTCGATAGTGTCGCATCTATGTGGGCAGAGATTGTACATGAGTACACAGAGAAGGGTGCGTATGTGCAAACCGACCTTCGAACAAAGTTCCTCGAGTCGAAGTGTCCTGCCGGTAGCGATGTACGCCAGTTCTTAGACAAACTGTGCGCAAAATGAGGACGAGTTATCAGCAGTGGGTGTTGACATTGAAGAAAAAGATTACCGATCTACAATCATTCAATCCCTTCCAAACCACCTCGCTAGCTTCGCCTCTGGACAATTAGCTACAGCTTAGCTCTACAGCACCACCCAGACCATAGCCCCAGACATTCTAATCTCTCTCATCATCAAGGAGTCAGAACTGCTAAAATCGCAAGGACAGTCGTTCCGCGCGAGGAAATAACTCCAACCGTGCTTCTGGAGATAATGAAGCAATGGCTTCGACTGGATGCGCCCCAACGTGGACTGGGGTGGTTCCTGTGGCAATAAAGGGTCAAAGAATGGAAAGAGCACTGGCGGGCATCAACGCCCGCCATGCTGGAACTGCAGATCTCGCGAACACTTCAAAGCTGACTGCCCCGAACCAGAAAAGAACCCTGGCAGCAATGCTGGCACCAAAGGTTCTGCCAATGCAGCAGCTGAGGAAGACTCTGAGGATGACGCTGTATTAGCAGTTGACTCTGCCTCATCCTGCTCAATCCCCAGCCTTCTTTCCACCGAGTCGTCAGATGACGATGCTGAAGAACGGTCAAACTTCATCAGCACTAATGAAGATTGGTTTTCGGAGACAGATGAGGACTGACATACCTCATATGAGCGACTGGGAAATGGAACCAGCAGCCATACACAGTGAAAGCGACACAGACAGCTGTGAGGAAGTCGCCACCAAGGTAGCCATTGAGCAAAAAGATGGCGCTGTTGTCGAATTATACGACTCTGGCACAACGAGGCATATCTCGCCATATCATGAGCAGTTCAAAACTCTCACCCCCATCCCGCCCAAGACTTTTGCAGCTGCAAATAAGCAGTGCTTTGATGCAACTGGAATCGGAGAACTTGTCATTGAAGTACCTAATGGTGTAGACGTTTCAAAACTGACACTCACTGAAGTCCTCTATTCCCCCGCTGTTGGATACACCCTCGTATCAATCGGACATCTTGACAAGCTTGGATACTCCGTCACTTTTGCAGATGGCACGTGTGTAATCCGCGATCCCACTGAGGAAGTTGTGGGACAAATTCCCAAGTCCGGGCGTGGGCTCTATCGCGTTGTCCATCAAGCTGATGGTAACAGCACAAATGCTGCGGTGGAGACTATCACCGTCATGGAGCTGCACAAACGCATGGGGCATATCGCCCCATCTGTTGCACGACGACTAGCCGAGAATGGGCTTGTCTCCGGTGTCAAGGTTGACTTATCCTCTGGGGAGACCACGTTCTGTGAATCCTGTGTGTATGCCAAGGCAACACGCAAGCCTGTTGCCAAGGTTTGAGAGGGTGAACGAGCAAAAGATTTTGCGGGAGAAATACACACCGATTTATGGGGCCCCACACCTGTTGCCACCTTGGGAGGACGAAGCTACTATATTAGCTTTACGGATGACAAGACGAGGCTGACTTACATCCACCTTCTTCATCGCAAGAGTGAAGCCTTCTCCGCCTATCAGGACTTCGAAGCTTGGTGCCGCACTCAGCATGACGCCCATATCAAGGTCCTCCACTCTGATAGAGGAGGAGAATACCTGAGCAAAGAGTTCACCAGTCATCTTAAAGCTGCCGGTATGCAACAGAAACTCACCGTACATGATACCCCGCAGCATAATGGGGTAGCTGAAAGACTCAATTGCACACTCCTCGAGAAAGTTCGTGCGATGTTGCACGACAGTGGGCTCCCATGCAGCCTATGGGGAGAGGCCATTCGCCACACAGTATGGTTGAAAAATCGTACCCCTACCAAAGCACTTGATGGCGGTACACCCCTCGAGGCTGCCACAGGCAAGAAACCTGACCTTCGGAGACTTCGTCCCTGGGGATCCACTGTTTGGGTACGTGTTGAAGATGGGAGTAAGCTTGGTGGCCGAGTCGTCGAAGGATGGTGGGTTGGCATTGATGAAAACAGTGCGAATGGATGCAGAGTTTACTGGCCAACCAAACGAACAGTCTCTGTTGAACGCAACGTTTATTGGGATCCGTCCCACGTTGAGTTGTTACATCGTGAGGGGGAGGAAGATAATGACGCACCTAACGCGATTATAACGCCTTCACTACAGATCCCCAAAGAACAACCCAATGCGTCAACACCAACCCCACAAACTCCAAAGGCCCCAAATCCTTCCAAAATCCCTACCCTTCCAGCTTCGCCGATACTCGAGATGGTTGCTAAGCGAGTCCGAAAACCGAGTCAACGAGTGCTTGATATTATCAAGGAAACTGGTACTGTACCTAAAGGCATCCAACTACCCCCAACTGCCGAAGAAACACTGAATGAGGGGGAGAATGTAGTAGAACACCTCATGGCCATCTTGGAGGACTCAGACGATGAACCTTGCTCGCTCGACTATGCCATGGCGCTCGGAGAAAAGATCGCAGAAGCCGAAGCCCTCGAACCTAGCACTCTAGCAGAGGCAAAAGGTCGCCCTGACTGGGCACAATGGGAGGCAGGTATACGAGAAGAATTAGCTACCCTTAAGACAGCTGGAACTTGGGAACTCGCAGACTTACCTTCTGGCACTAATCTTGTAGGCTCCAAGTGGGTTTTCTAAGCGAAGAAGGATGCCACTGGAAACGTCATTCGCCACAAAGCAAGACTTGTCACCCAAGGATTTTCACAGGTCCCAGGTGTTGATTTCTTCGACACGTACGCCCCAGTTGCTACCCTCCCATCTATCTGAACGACTCTCGCACTCGCCGCTCGATTGGACCTAGAACTACACCAAATTGATATCAAGGGCGCATATTTGAATGGAGAACTCACCAGTAACAAAGTCATCTATATGCGCCAACCTCCCGGTTTTGAGTTGAAGGATCACCCAACAAAAGTTTGCCGATTGAAGAAAACTTTATATGGATTAAAGCAGAGTGGAAGAAGATGGTATCAGAAGTTGGTAGAGATATTGGTGGATAAGATTGGACTTACTCAATGCGATGTCGACCAAGCTGTGTTCTTCTCACGCTCCGCATCTGACGAACTAACCGTTGTCGTCGTCCACGTCGACGACTGCACCATTGCAGCGTCCTCCATGGAGCTCATCACCCAGCTGAAGGACAAGATACGCACCTTCGTTGAAATCACCGACTTAGGAGAACTGCATTGGCTACTAGGCATCGAAGTCACCCGGAATCGCGACAACAGAACCCTTTCCCTATCCCAGAAAGCCTATCTCGATTCTATCATTCGTCGTTTCAATTTCGAAGAACTCAAGCCAGTATTAAACCCCATGGAGCCCAGCACAAAGCTTCATTCTGGACAGTCACCAGCCACCGGTGCAGAACACGCTGCCATGTGTCATATCCCCTACCGAGAAGCTGTAGGCTCACTCATGTATGCATCTCTCGGCACTCGCCCCGATATCTCCTACGCAGTAACCACTGTGTCTCGCTTCTCAAGCAACCCCGGCCAAGTTCACTGGGATGCTGTACGCAGAATCTATCGCTACCTCCTAGGAACAACCACTCTGAAGCTGACTTACGGGGGAGTTGAGAATGTTCTGATAGGATACGCAGATGCTGACAGGAGCATGGGGGAAGATCGAAGAGCTATCTCAGGGTACGCCTTTTTGATTGACGGAGGAGCAGTCTCTTGGTCGTCTAAACGCCAAGATATCATTTCACTCTCGACGACGGAGAGTGAGTACATCGCTGCGACACATGCCTCGAAAGAAGCACTATGGCTTCGATCCTTCATCAGACAGATCTTCAAACCACTCACAGAACCCACCACCCTCTTTTCCGATAACCAATCAGCCATCGCCCTGACCAAAGATCATCAGTATCACGCGCGCACCAAGCATATTGACATCAGATTTCACTTCATCCGCTGGATCATAGAGGAAGGGAAACTCTGACTCATCTACTGTCCTACTGCTGACATGGTCGCTGATACTCTTACGAAAGCGCTACCATCACCCAAGGTCAAGCATTTTGCTTCGCAACTCGGATTACGTGCAGCTTGAGGGGGAGTGTTGGAATAACAAGCACGCACTAAGCCATCAAACCTTATACCCTTGTCTCGTATGTTCACTCTATTGTCTCATACTCGTGCTTTATGCGCTCTTATATGTTGATTCACCTTTTGTACTTGTGACTCCATTGACTGCTTTGGCCAGTGCCAGGTGTACCATTATGTATGTTTCAGTCTCGTTTACCTCTAACAAGACCCGTTTTCTCTATTTAATCAGTGTATATTGGACTTGATACCTCAGACGTTCACATCCGCGTGCTCGATCTGAGGTATGACACTTTGTTTTCACACATATTCACCTTTGCTAACTAGTCTTAGTGTATCTGTTCTTAATAGGTGAATATTGATCAGACGTTCACATCTGCGTGCTCGATCTGAGTGTATCTGTTCTTAATAGATCCACGCGAGAAGCTTGTACTAAGCTAAAACTCTCGTCTCTGGAGCATATCCATTCACACAACTACATTCATGGTGATATCAAACTACAAAATACCCTTGTTGGTCGAGGCAATTTGTAGCAAACTGTTTTTATTGTTGATTTTGGTATTACCAAGGAGTACTGGAATACTGCCACCCAAGCCCACATGCCATTTCGCCATGGTGGACATCTTACTGGCACTCCTGCATTTGTGTCAATCAATAATCACCTGGGGGTTGTGCCTGGTTGTCATGACGATCTGGAGTCACTCATATACATGTTGATTTATTTCTTACATGGTTCCCTTCCATGGTTCAGTACTGAACATGAGAACCTCCCCAGCTCTTCCATACTGGCATGCAAGGTAGACACTACCATTGAAGTTTTATGCCTTGGCATTCCTTCTGAGATCACAACTATGCTCA